AACAAACTAAACTATTACACCAAAAGTGTGTAATTTCCAAAGTAAAAATCAATCAAAACTAATTAAAAATACAAACATACACATGGAAATTACATGATTATCAACCTCCTCCTCCAAGGTGCCATGCAAAATGCATTATTAACATCCAACTGACGTAGGGGCCAGCCTCGCGCGAGAGCAAAAGTGAGAACACTACGAAGTGTACGACTTAAATACTGGGCTGAATGTTTCAGCATAATCCCTACCTGGTTAGTGCAAGAAACCACAGGCAACTAAATGGGCTTTATAACGGGCAACACTCCCGTCGGTGTTCCGTTTGACCCGAAACAACCAGCGGTAGGTAATAGGCTGGTGCTGTCCAGACGGTACAAGGTCCCACGTATGATTGCACTAAAGCGCAGCAAACTCCTCATCCATGGCTTGCTTCCACCTGGGATCCTGTAAGGCAACCTTAAAAGAAGAAGGTTCAAGTGTAGGAGAAATGGGATGAACACTCATATTATTCACAAACACACTGCTGTAGTACTTAGGGTTTGGTTTACGGTTTCGGGTTGGGCGGGATGGGTCGGTGCTGACTGTGTTAGGAACAGATGCAGCACTCAGAGTGATGGTGTTATTAGGTTCTGTACTTCTGTGGGAGGAGTTTCGGTGCTGGCTGGCTCAGGGGGATGGGGAGATAGGTTGGGGTTACTGGGTTGCGAAAGAAGAAGAGGAGGGGCTGGTGGGTTGATAGCAGCCAGCGGGGCAGCTGCTGAGGGTACATGTGAGGAGTTCACTGGGGGTGCCGTAGGAAGAACCGCCGGGGGAGAAGTAGGTGGAGCCGTAGTGCGCACCGGTGAGGATGGAACAGGGGATTCGTGAAAGAAGAGATGAAGAGGATGAAACCGGACATGACGAGAAACTTAGACCCGATTTGTGGATGGGTCAAGACACAAGAAAGCATACTGACAGAGAGAGAGTAACCAACAAATACACAAGGAATAGAGAGAGGTTGTAGTTTGTGAGTGGTGTATGGACGGAGCCAGGGATAACACAGACAACCAAACGGCTGAAGTTTAAAGTAGTTTGGTGGCCTATGGTATATCCGAAAATAGGGCGACTCATTTTGAAGAACATGTGTAGGGAGACGGTTGATAAGATATACCGCCGTAGAAAAGGCGTAGGACCAAAATTTAAGGGGCATACCGGCATAATGAAGTAGTGAAAGACCGGTGTCAATGATGTGACGATGCTGGCGTTCCGCCAGTCCATTGTGCTCTGGAGTGTGTGGAGGTGTAGTAAAGTGAGATATGCCATTCTTATTAAGATAGTCACGCAACTTAATGAATTCACCACCATTGTTAGAATAAAAAGAGACCACAGGGAGGTTAAAGTATTTTTCAACAAGGCGGTGAAATTGAGGAAAAATAATAGCCACATCTGATTTGCGTTTAAGTGGATAGAGCAAGGTATAGCGTGTGAAGTAGTCAACAAAAATAACATAATAAGAAAAACCATCAATAGAAGTAACATGAGAACTCCACACATCAGAATAAATTAATTGAAGTGGTTTAGTAGTAGACATAGTATTAGTAAAAAACGGAAGCTTATGACTTTTATTAATAGCACATGACATACACTGATGACGAGACACATTATTGTTAGCTAATTTAGGAAAAAATAAATGACAGACACGACTGGAAGGGTGACCAAAAGTGTGATGCCAATGAGGTGGCAGTGTAGTCTGAGTGACATGAATCTGAGGGGATTTGAGAACCGGTGCGTAGTAGACATTATATTTATTCTCCCCTCGAAGCAGTGGCACCCCTGTGATACGATCCTTCACAAGAAAATAATGAGGAAAAAATTCAATAGATACGTGATTAGTTTTGCATAATTGTGCAATAGATATTAAATTTTTGCGCAACTGAGAGACACAAAGGGTATTAGTTTAGGATAAAGGACGGGTGGGGCATGTAAAGCAGTAGTACCAGTGTGAGTAATAGGAAGTGACGTACCATCACCTAACTTAACCTCATCAGGGCCTCCATAATCCGCATAAGTAGGGATGTTGGCAACATCAGACGTGACATGATGAGATGTGCCACTATCAAACAACCACGGCTGGTCCGGCGGCGAAGGGTTGGCAGACATATGATTCACGCTTGGGGCAGCCGACATGACCTGATGATTGCGAAGGAAGCGCTGAAGCTTGCGGCAGTGATTGACTTCATGGCCCACATTCTCGCAAAAATGACAAGTAATCTGCCGAGGAGCACCACGACCACCAGCCGCAGGTGGAAAGCCCCCGCGACTGCGACCGCGGCCAGAGCGTGACCTACGTTCTGACTGTTGCTGCTGTGCACCGTCTCGTGGGCCATGGGAATCCCGGGGACGACATTGGACGTAATTGGCCGTAGGGAGGTGCTGGTGACCCACCGCTGCATGCTGCGCCTGCACAGCCTCATGCTCCCGGAGAATGTCCTGCAATTCGGTGAAAGAATGAGCCGTCTCATACTCTCACATACCCGGACTGCTGCCAGGATGTCTGAGTATTCGGGTCCCAACCCCTGCAAAATACTGATGACAAAATCTTCCTCGGGAGTAAGGTTTTGGGCCAGTGCAAGTGCCTCAGCGAGACCTTGCATCTCGGTGAGGTATGCATCAATTGTCTTGGAACCTTTGGTGGTCTTGGCAAGTGTAGTTTTGAGAGATATAATTCATCCACGCGAAGAGCTTGCGTAGGTGGAGGAGATCTTATCCCAGGCTTGACGAGCAGTGGCCGTGGAGGAGATGACGGGCTGAATAGCGTCGGAGCAACTACCAAGGAGAGCACTGAGTATTGATTTGTCTTGACGGTACCATATGTGGTATACCGGATTGGGCCGAGACTTGGCATCGTCAAGATGAGTCGACGGGGCTGCTAGTTTGCCGTCGACATAGCCTTCAAGACCAAGGCCAATTAGGGCAGCATAAACTTGAGACTTTCAGACCGGATAATTGGTAGAGGTGAGTTTGATGGGAAAGTGTGTAGCAGCGGTGATGGAGACAACCTTGGTGTCAGCAGTAATTTGGGCGGCCATGGTGATGACCAAGATGTGAAGGGCACGACGGTAGCTAGGGTTCAAGAGTGGCGGACGGCCGAGCTAAAAAAATTGTTGAGAGAACCTCGTTAGAGAATGGCTCTTGATACCATAAAGATGTGGAAGAATGGAATAATATCATTGAAGAAATACAAGAGTATATATAATACGAGAGTCCTAATGTATGTGAACTAGGTATATACCAAATAATATAACACATGTACATGGGCCTAAAATATACAACTTAACATAATAATAATTAGCCCGTATTACATGGGTGTACCCACTTAAGCGCACTTTGGTTTGATTTTAATCGTTAGAGATGGGTGATGAATGCTTACCGTTAGACCACGTCAGCGATGGCCATAGCCGAGAGAGTGGAGATGAAGGAGCGCAGAGATGGAGCGCATGCAGGGATGGTCGGTCAGGTATGAGAGTTTTCTAAAGAGGTAATTTTTAGGAAATACTTTAGCGGGAGAATATTTTTCAGTTTGCCGCTCTTAAAATTTGCACGCAGATTGTCAAATGACATACAACGAGTCTCAAAATTTTCAACTATCAATAATGAGGGTATTACTTAAAATTGCTCAATATTTTAATTAGAGGATTTTTCCCTCATAAAAGCTCTACAAATAGTATTTTTAATGAGGGAATTATCCGCCCGTCACAAATTTTCCTAGTGAAAACTAGCTTTTCTTGTAGTGAACGTCTCTTCATGTCATGCCGTCTTGACACGTCTTGCGTGTTTTAGAATTTTGGTTATAATCCATTGAAAATATGCTTAAAGAGTATAATTTTTAAAATGAAGTGTGTTTTGTTAACAAATTCTTTATTAATTAATATTTTTTAATTTCACATAATGTAATATGAGTAGTAATTAATACTCCCTCCGGTCCCAAAACAAATTCACTCACAGTTTACGATGCTTGACTGACGATAAAGTAACTCGATCCCTGTTCATGCTCAGATTATTTTTAGTAAATAAAATTTACATATTCAGAAATTACATTAATACCGCTACAAAGTCTGATCAAGAAAATTTAAAGTTGATAAAAATTTGATATATAAAATAAAAAATTAAGAGTGATTTAAGTTGACCAATGAATAGTAAGTGTGAATTTGTTTTGGGACCAGAGGGAGTAATTAATATAGTGTACAATATACGTAGTATTATATTTTTACTTTTGTAAATAAAATACCCAATTTTTACTCTTGCAAGGATCCCTGCATTGTCACGACCGGGCCTGTGCCCTTAAATAATCAACATGAATACATGGTTTTCTAGTACTTTTTGGGAGTGCTTTCTTAAAAAGATGGGAAAATTCATGACATCGGAGTAAAAAAGTTTGAAAATTACAAAATAGGATTATCATGTTTTTATTTGCAATTGATCAAATGGTGAAATCTCCCACCCCAGGAGCCCCCACCCCGACCCGACATGATGGTGGGGAGGTTAGTCACGGTGACTCAGTCAACAGAATGATAGTAGGCCCACACATCCGTGCGCACGAGAGCCTCAGTCTTATTTCAGGTTCTGTGACCTCCACCCGGTCGCTGCGAGAATTCGAACCTTGGTCCATTGATCCAAATCTCCCACCACTCGACCAACTGAGCTACCCGTGCGGGTACATGTTTTTATTTCCAAAATAGAAATAATTAATGCCAAGTTTGGAAAGTACTGCCACGTTTAAAATCTGGTACTGCCAAAACATGACAGTAATTAGTCCTATTTTGGGAATAAAAATATGATAGTCCTATTTTGAAATATACAAACGGTTTTAGTCCTATTTCGGGTAATTAGAATGAATGTTGTTCTCGGTCTATCTGCTTGTTGGCAACCTCAACTGTGGTTGCTTCAATTCCCTTAGCTTCCAATCAAACCCCTATGCCATATTATGATGATGACCCTTTAACTGCCACCGGTCCACCACCGCATCAGTTGGTGGCATGGCGCCATCATCATATCATTATGTATATGCACCCACCTCCTTCCGGCCTAGCTTCAATCCTACGACATTCTATTATATGATAGCCGGCCGGCAGCCATCCAACAGGATCTATATATCTAACTTCAGATCGATCCCGGCCTCTTCATCAACCCCCCATGGCGGCTGGTTTCTTTACAGGCTCCCATTTCAACGCCCAGGACCATGACCCGGCGCTGGTAATCTCATCTCATCTCATTACTTAACGTCTTTTCATTTGAAAATTGAAATGCTTTTCATTTCCCGCCACTTCTTTTGACTCTTTACTTCACAAATCGTAATAATAGGTGATAACTCGGGTACCTTTCTAAAAAGGTAGATTATATGGTACCCATAAGGTACCATACATTTGTCCACATGGACCAATGAGAATGTAGCAGTTGAATTATTTAAATCTAAATTAAAAATGATAAAGTGGTGTGGTCCAATCAAATGAATGGTAGGTACGGTATCTCATTTTTTAGAAAGGTACCGGAGTTGTCACCTTCTAAAAAATGGGGGTACCGTATCTATCATTCATTTGATTGGACCACATTACTTTATCATTTTTAATTTAAATTTAAATAATTCAACTGCTACATTCTCATTGGTTCACGTGGACAAAGGTATGGTACTTTATGGGTGCCATAGAATCTACCTAATAATAATACTCCTTCCGCTTAAAGGTTTCCACGCGGTTTACGATATTTAACTGATTATAAAGTTAAGTGATCTCTGTCTTTAATAGGACTATGTTTAGTAAATAAAATTTACATATTTAGAATCCGCATTAGAAGTTTTATAATATTTGATCAAAAAATTTAAATTTGATAAAAGTTAGAAATATAAAGTAAAAGATTAAGAACAATTGACGTTGATCGGAGAATAGTGATCGAGAACTTTTAAATGAGATAACGGGAGTAATACTTTATAGTACTGTAGTAAGTGATAACTGATAATCAATTAACAAAATAATACGTAATAATTGTGGGAGATCAATTTCATCAACTTAGTTTGATCGTTAATCAATTCTTTAATTATCTCATTTAGATCACTATATTGAAGCTAACAACCTTTATTACAACCCCCCCCCCCCCCCAATCACTCACTTGAAACGAAGTTGTAATAAACATGGAAAGTAGTAGTAGGAATTACAAAAACTCACTCTATACATTAATGTATGGTTCATCCATTGCTAAAAAGAGAAGAATAATATATTTACATGAAACTAAATAATACAAGGGAGATTTGACTTTGCATTCCACTTTTTGGTTCATATTCAACTTTGCACTCCATTTTCAAAACTTTGATTTTACACGTACTCCAACACGTAACATTTTATGAAACAAATTTCTGAATGAGGTCAAACTCAAATGTCTTATTTCTAAAGATCAAATGTCAACGACTTGCAAAGGAAAAATAAGTTTAATGCATCAAATGATTTCAAATCTCCTCAAATTAATAAATTCTTCGTGAGATGCCATGAAAGAACGGCGGAAAAGCTTATGATACTCAGAATTACATCACATTGACGCATTAAACTTCGATTATTATTATTACTTTTATATAATAAGACAAATTCTATGATACTCTAAAGTTTTGAAGTATCATACCTTACCTATGTGGATCAATTGGAATATTGCAATTGAATAATTAAAATAATTCATGCATAAACTGATGATGAGAAGAACCGATAATCGGGAAGTAGGGAGTACTAGGGTGTTCATTGGTTCGGTTTCATCAGACTCGGTTTTAGAAAAGGAGAAACCGATAACTGAACCGCACTACTTGAGTCGGTTTCGGTTTGATTTCGATTCAGTTAATTTTGATCGATTTGTACCAATTTCAGACGGTTTTAACACATTTTGTGGGTCGGTTTGGATTGGACAGTTTTTAACCCAAATGTAGAAATTGTAAACCTAACAGCCCAAAATTGTAAACCCAACAGCCAAAGATAAGACGGTTCCGTTTGGGTGTAATTCCATTTTTCGGTTATTTTGTTCAGTTATTATCTAGCTAGTTAGTTGGCTCATGGTTTAGGTATACTCCGTATATCATAAGACTGAGGTGGGAATTGATTCATGTGCAGCATCCGCGGCCTCAGCAATCCAGAGATGGAGGGGAGAAGAAGATATGCGGGGTATGTGGAGACGAGATAGGTTTGACGGCAGAGAACGGAAAAGTGTTTGTGGCGTGCAATGAGTGTGCTTTCCCAGTCTGTAAACCTTGTTATGAGTACGAGAGAAGCGAAGGAAACCAGTCTTGTCCGCAGTGCAACACTCGCTATAAGCGTCACAAAGGTACACCCAACACATGACATGTTTTTCTACTTTTGGAATTTTCGTCATATAAGGCTGTCCTGGAACTGTGTTGGTATAAATATTAGGACCTTTCATTCATATATAAATAAATGAAATTGATGTGCATATATTGCAGGCTTTCCTAGAGTTATTGGGGATGATGAAGATCATTTTGAGGGGGAAGAGTTTGACCAAGAATTTCATACCAAGAATTACCCTCAATCAGTTACTCTCCTCCTAATACACTACTTTTGTTTTTCCACTACTGTCTATCTATTAGTGATAAGTCTCTTAGTCATAACTGATGACTTCTAGATTACATCTTGGCAGGAAAAGGAAGACTACCATAATAATCAGCCGCACCACAACCCAAACTGTGAGTTTTTTTTTTAATTCTGAAACCTTAAATTTCTGATGAAGATGTGGTTGATTACCCTCTCATCCATCTTCATGATCCGCTGAACCACTAACTGTAACTATTTCTTTTGAATTGAGGATTTAAATTGTGCACGTGCTCACATATGCAGTGGGTGGCAAGGATTTGGAAGATGATCATCAGAAGGAGGTTGTCGGGAACGCGCAATGGAAGGACAGAGTTGAGAAGTGGAAAACCAAACAAGCAAAGAAGGGCCTGATAACCAGGTTTGACGATGACAAAGGCACTGATGAAGATGATGATGAGTTTATGTAAGATTTTCTATTCTTCAATATAATATGAAGTCATGCATTTGCATGTAGTATTAAACTATCTCAATCTCTTAATTCAGCATGGCAGAAGCTAGGCAGCCACTGTGGAGAAAAATCCCAATTTCGCCAAGCCTAATCAGTCCATACAGGATAGTCATTGTGCTCAGGCTTATCATTCTATGTTTCTTCTTCCACTTTCGTGTTTCAACCCCTGCCTACGACGCATTCCCTTTATGGATCATCTCTGTGATATGTGAAATCTGGTTCGGCCTGTCATGGATTCTTGATCAATTTCCCAAATGGTTCCCTATGAACCGTGAGACCTACCTCGATCGCCTATCCTTGAGGTTTGAGCGTGAGGGCCAACCAGACTCCTTAGCCCTAGTGGATGTTTATGTCAGTACAGTTGACCCTCTTAAGGAACCTCCCATCATCACAGCAAACACGGTCTTGTCCATCTTAGCCGTTGATTATCCTGTGGATAAGATCAGCTGCTATGTATCAGATGATGGCGCATCTATGCTTCTTTTTGACACCTTAGCAGATACCGCTGAATTCGCAAGGAGATGGGTTCCGTTCTGTAAGAAGTATAGCATTGAGCCAAGAGCTCCAGAGTTTTACTTCAATCAGAAAATCGACTATTTGAGAGATAAAGTTCAGCCCACCTTTGTCAAGGAACGAAGAGCAATGAAGGTAACTGCTTAAAACATTCATAAAATCTTTTTTAGTTTCTCGTGCATCTGTGAAAAAATCTCTTAATAAGTGTTGACAATCCCCATCTCTTACTTTATCATTTAGGGTTGAGTTAGGTTCACAGTTGCAGGGTTAAATAGTACTTCAGCTTTTCAAGAATCAGGTCCCAAACTTAACTCTATGGTGTTACCGTGTTACATAACGACTTTATCTCATATTCGAATTCGGGTTTTGTAGTTGAATAGAACCCTTTGTGTAGTTTCTACATACTTAAACTTAAGTTATAAATAATAATTCAAATATTGTTAGGTGAGGATGAAGATTATCATCAGTTAACCATTGTAAAGTGTAAAGTGTACCGCGAACCTAAATAATGTTGGTGATTTTAGTATCACCAGGTTCATTTTAGTGTAATGGAATTTACAGATTACCAATGGAGTTCAAGTTTAATTTTAGACAAGTTAGGAGGTGCGGAGCGCACACTTGTACGAAATTAAATTTAAACTTGGTTCGATTAAATGGCGGGGGTCAAGGGGGCTGCGCCCCCTTGCGGGGTCCAAGGGGCAGCGCCCCGGACCAAAATTTTATTTTATTATAGAAATAAATATGGAAATTTATTTTCGGATAAACATGTCCATATTAATTATTTAATAGAATGACTTTCTGTTAGAGTAAAACTCTAACCGATTGGCCTTATCTCTTTGGTAATCAGAAGAATTCGAGTTCTACTAAAACTGCTAGTTCGTGGTCTATATATTGGTGCCTCAGTTTTAGACTGTCTCTCAGAGTGATTATCCCCATAATCTAAATTTCGTGTAACCCAGGCATAGGGTCGAAATATTAGATTCGGAAAGTGATCACACGATACTCTGAGAAATCCGCCAGATTTTCTAAAACAGTTTCCCAACTCCCCAGTTCTAACAAATAAGTGATGGAGGGAGTATCTTACACCGGCTAAATATGACTATGAATGTTTGACGTCGTTCTTAAAATGTATTGTGATATGCTTTACTTTGTGATTTCTATTGAACATTGTGAATGACAAGCGTTTCTATTGTGGCAGAGACAATATGAAGAATACAAAGTACGACTCAATGCATTAGTGGCAAAGGCACAGAAGAAACCAGAGGAGGGATGGGTTATGCAAGATGGAACACCATGGCCCGGGAACAACGCTAGGGACCATCCAGGAATGATTCAGGTTTATCTAGGAAGTGAGGGTGCTCTTGATGTGGAAGGAAATGAGCTTCCAAGACTTGTGTATGTTTCACGTGAGAAACGGCCTGGGTATCAGCATCACAAGAAGGCTGGTGCCATGAATGCTCTGGTTAGTGTCACGGCTTGGCGTTCTATTTTAAAATGTCAAACCTAATAGAAGTAGACTTAATGCCTTATACTTTTACTAGTTTGATGTGGGATAACTTAACAAATGGTACATTACCTCTAGTCATCTAGTAATAGCTTCTAAAAATATATTTCGTTAGCCCTATTTGTTGCACTAATTTTCTTTTATAATCATTATATTAAATTAGGTTCGCGTGTCAGCTGTATTAACCAATGCACCCTTTATGTTGAACTTGGATTGTGATCACTACATCAATAACAGCAAGGCCATTAGAGAAGCAATGTGCTTCTTAATGGATCCCCAGTTTGGGAAGAAGCTCTGCTATGTCCAATTCCCTCAGAGGTTTGATGGCATTGATCGCCATGATCGATATGCTAATCGCAATGTCGTCTTCTTTGACGTAAGCATCAGAATTGCAATCCAGTCAAAAACAGATTTAAACATATTTTAATTGTTTGTGTTATCTAAACTATATGTCTTGGGGTGACAGATCAATATGAAAGGACTTGATGGAATTCAAGGACCCGTGTACGTTGGGACTGGCTGTGTTTTCAACAGGCAAGCTTTGTACGGTTATGATCCGCCGGTTTTCGAGAAGCGTTCTAAGATGACATGTGACTGTTTTCCCAAATGGTGTTGTTGTTGTGGTGGTTCAAGGAAACCCAAGTCTAAGAAGAAAGGACTGAAGGCTTTGTTGGGCCTTGGAAAGATGTTCAAGAAGAAAAAGAAAATTGCCGGACAGAACTACAATTGGATTAAATCATCTAGACAATTGTTCGATCTTGAGGAGATTGAGGAGGGTCTTGAAGGGTACGATGAGCTCGACAAATCATCCCTCATGTCTCAAAAGAACTTTGAGAAAAGGTTTGGACAGTCTCCTGTCTTCATCACTTCCACACTGATGGAAGACGGTGGCCTTCCACAAGGGACTAACCCAACGACACTTATCAAAGAAGCCATTCATGTCATCAGTTGTGGGTATGAAGAGAAGACTGAGTGGGGCAAAGAGGTAAGACTATAATGTTTATTTTAAGTGCAGTGATTCTAACTCCTAACTTTGTTAAGGGCACAAACGTCACCTTAATTACACATTAGTATGATATTGTCCGCTTTAAGCCAAACCCATACGGTTATGGGCTCCTCCCAAAAGACCTCATTCAAATGGAATTAGGTGGACACTTCAAATTCGGGGTGATTTTCCCTTCTTTTACAAACATAACTGCTAATGAGTTGTTCTCTTCACCTGAAAATATATTTGAATCTTTTAGGCTCTTGTCTGAATTTATCTGTTAAGGCCTGTAGGCTCTTGTCTGAATTTATCTGTTCAGACCTGTACGGGATGTTTGATGTTTCTAGTGTAATCCGGAAACAGTCTATTTATGCTTTAGTACAAGCGTAAGACTGCGTATATCTAACCCCCTTACCCCACTGAAGGTGGGAGCCTTTGCGGCACTGGGGTAATGATGATGTAATCTGATTACATAACTGCTAATGTGTTCTCTTCACCTAAGCATTGAAGTATTTATGCAGCTAGGGTGGATTTACGGTTCGATCACAGAAGATATATTAACAGGATTCAAGATGCATTGCCGAGGCTGGAGATCAGTGTACTGCTGCCCAAAGAGGGCTGCTTTTAAGGGATCAGCTCCCATCAATCTATCAGATAGGCTGCACCAAGTCCTGAGGTGGGCCCTTGGTTCTGTTGAAATCTTCCTTAGCCGACATTGCCCGTTGTGGTATGCCTGGGGTGGAAAACTGAAACTGCTTGAGAGGCTTGCTTACATTAACACGATTGTTTACCCTTTCACTTCCATTGCTCTCTTGGCTTACTGCACTCTTCCTGCGATTTGCCTTCTCACTGGCAAATTCATTGTCCCAACTGTAAGTTTTACCATGTACTCCTTCCATCCCAGCTTTAGGTTCTCACATTTCTTTTTCCTTTTTCAGGCTCCATTATATTATATTCCCATCGCAACTATTTCTCAAAATATACTCGAATTACCTTATTTAATGGTCTAAATAATCATGTCATTTTTCAATGAGAACCTTAACACGGGACGGAGGTAGTATTATTAAGAGCTATGTGTAATCTTCAGACTAGTGCCCATTCTTGTTGTCTTACGAATTTGTGTGCGTGTGAGAACAAATTAGCCTTATCTATGTGAAGGTGAAATAAATGGTGATGTACAAAAAAAAATTATTGTTTATTGTCAATAGGCATTGGAGGTATACATTGCAAAAAGGGTGTATATGTTTCTCATTCCTGTATATATTCTCCACCACCCTAGGCTAAAAACGTGCATGACTCGATGTAATCTAACCTTACATTTTGTCCATAGCTCTTTGGAAACTATGCAGGGAGGCGACGCTAATCAAATTATTATCCCTACATTCAATTTATACATCCATAGCTATTTAAAAATATAATACTCCTTAGTTAACAAGTTTTAAAGAGGTTTTCCTTAAATATTATTGAAATATAGCATATAAGCGAAAATATTACCATAGTTACTATACATAGTCACTATAGTGTAAAGTTGAACTGTTGAAGTCACTAAAGTTACTTAGATAGTTACTGAAGTATAAAAATTCGTATTTTATTTCCACTACCTTTATTTCGGTCATATATTTGTCAGTATTTTATTTTTAAAACTAAAATAATGAGCAAAAAATACTGTAAGATGTGATTTATCGTTTTGATAAAAATAAATGGGGAGCTAGAGGGATTAAAAAGAGGAAACATAAGTTACACATATGAATAACAAAAATTGAATTTACAAGCATCTAAAAAAGCAACGTTTGCAAGGACGAGAAGCTTAGTTAAGCATACAAAAAATTCATTTCTTTGACCCTACATTTTATCTCTTTTTTACAGTTGAACAGCTTCGCTAGCATATGGTTCATGGCACTTTTCCTCTCCATCATAGTCACAGGTGTGCTTGAGCTACGATGGAGTGGGGTAAGCATAGAGGACTGGTGGAGAAACGAGCAGTTCTGGGTGATTGGTGGTGTCTCAGCACATCTCTTTGCAGTCTTCCAAGGCCTTCTCAAAGTCCTTGCCGGCGTTGATACAAACTTCACCGTGACCGCAAAGGCTGCAGATGATGCTGAGTTTGGGGAGCTCTACCTCTTCAAATGGACCACACTTCTCATCCCACCCACCACTCTCATAATCTTGAACATTGTTGGGGTTGTGGCTGGTATCTCTGGTGCCATCAACAATGGTTACGGATCGTGGGGTCCCCTCTTCGGGAAGCTCTTCTTTGCCTTTTGGGTCATAGTTCATCTCTATCCTTTCCTCAAGGGGCTGATGGGGAGACAAAACAGGACTCCTACCATTGTCGTCCTCTGGTCTATCCTTCTTGCTTCAATATTTTCTTTAGTATGGGTTAGAATCGATCCTTTCTTGCCCAAACAGACTGGCCCTATACTCAAACAATGTGGGGTTGAGTGCTGATTTCTATCTGTTATGACACTTTTTTGACAATTTTGCTAGCTTTCTTTTGCATTGCAACTTGTAGTAACTTTTCTTAACCAATAAGAAATGGGAAGCACTAAAACTAAATTGTTGAAATATATGAGGTGTCAATCGTGTCATATATGTATATTTGCAACTTATATTTGAAATATATACTACCTCCGTCCCGAAAAGAAATTCTCACTTTCCTTTTATAGATGTCCCAAAAAGTCAAAAAGAAATTCTCATTTCTATAAATAGTTACTACTTTTAAGTTTTAACCAACAAGACACAATTACTCTTACTTTTTATCCACTTATTGTTTGATTTGACATAAAGCAATGATATGCTTGGAAAGTCAAAACAAAATTATATCTTATATGAAGTATAAATGTGTGTAGGTCAAACAGGAAACTTTAATTTGGGACTGAGGAAGTGATACTATTATGTATATTTGTGAAAATTGTAATACTACTACTACAAGTTTCAGGAATAACCAGGGACGGATTCAGGATATCGAATCGAGGGGGCGAATTTTTTTCCCATTGTTTAGAGTGGTAAAAAAAATTCGCTAGTGTAGTGGGTCGAATTTTTTTCCGTTAGTGTAGCTGAGCAAAAAAAATTCGCTAGTGTAGGATTGTGTGGGTATTTTTTATTAAAAAAAATCATTAATACATGCATGAATACATTTAATTTTTTCATGCTTATTAATTATTATATAAAAAATACTTATTATATAAAAATTTCTAATTAAAGTATGGAAATTTTATGAAAATATTACATATATATGAAACTTTTGAAAGGGGGACGGAGGGAGTAACTAATACAGTAAGGTTGTTTTCTTTTGGATTAAAATTGTTGGTCTAATATGGTCTGGTCTGGATAATATCTTGTCTTTGTGTATTTTAATACTCCCTCCGTCCCTCTTATATTGTCCCGTTTTACCTTTTCGAGAAGTCCCACTAAAATTGTCTCATACCATATTTGGTAAAGTTTGTGTGATTCTAAATCATTCTTACTTTATTCTTACTTTATCAATTAATATCAACCACACAACCTCACTTTTCTTAATAATCGTGCCACTCTCTTCGACCCAATATAAGAGGGACGGAGGTAGGACTATCCAAGTTTGGTATAGTCTAATCTATTTTGTTTAAGTCTGATCTCGTCTGGTTTGATTTGGGACTCAAAATCGTCCAAAAAAAAACATATTAATATGTACTCCTTCTGTCCCATTAGAAGGTTCTCTCACTTACCTTTTTTGGATGACCCGTTAGAAGGTTCCCATTTCCATTTTAGGAAACAATTAACAATCTTAAGTGACAAATTAATCATTAAATATTAAAAATAATACATTTATAACATCACTGTTATCAATACTAACTACATTATAATTTATAATATATACATATTAAAATTATTTCTCAAAATATACTCAAAGTACTTTATTTAATTATTGCTTAAATAATCGTGTCATTTTGCTACGGAAACCTTCCAACGAGAAGGAGGGAGTAGTATAATATGAGGACCAAAGGCTACGTATTGTCATGAGAACAATAAGTTTATTGAGATTTTTGGTATGGCTTATGAAGTGGTTTTGGAGAAAGTATTTCATAGTTAGAGTAGATAGTGTTTTTAAAATAAAGGTGATTATGGTGAAAATGTTACATAAGAGTATTTGGCAAAAAACATGCAATATTTTGTTAAATTACAAAAAAGCCATTACATGTATTTGTATGGAGTAATCTTTCTCTTTCAAAAATATACTCTGTATTATTGTTTCTAGTACTAGTATGTCTGTATTTGAACCCTTTCTCTAGTCATCTTCCTCGTCATAGACCAAAGCTTTATTGGTTTCCATCTGCCTGCGGATTCTTGATGTCATTGTCCAAGTAAACTTTACTATCTAATTTGAGAAGATATTAAATTAAATCAATCATTTTCATTTACCCCAGTGCCGCAAAGGCTCCCACCTACGGTGGGGTAAGGGGGGGTCGGATGTACGCAGTCTTACCCCTGTACTAAAGCACAGAGAGACTGTTTCCGAATGACCCATAGTGAAAATCCCGTCCAAAATTGCATGGACTGACTGCTGCTTCATGACAAAGAAGCGCAAACAGTTTAGTGAGCCATTTTGCTTTATTCCATCATAATCTCAAGCCAAAAAATAATGAATCTTTGGCTCCATTGCAAATGATGCAAATCGGAAGTTAATGTATTTGATTAGAGAGGGAAACTTAGGCATGGATCCGGTCCGGAATCGGGTATGACACTATTTGGGTTCGGATTTGGTCTGTTTTTCCCAGATTCGGGCTTGAGACCAACCATGTCCACCCAAGAAGGGTACCCCGTCCCGGTTCATAGATTTGGGGATCGAACCGGGCGATTTTGGTCCCGACAGGCAATTTTTTCAACCTATTTCTGGGCAGTTTTTAAAAAAAGAATATATAACAGGACTGTCAACACAGGGTACCCAGAACCAACCCATACCCGAAAATGACGGGCTTGGTCCCGGTCTTCTTCCAAAACTGACAAGGGCTGGGCGGTCCATGCCTATAGAATGAGTAGGAATGGTGAAGCGAGAGCCGGGGCATTAAGCGAGACTGGCCCAATACAAAAACATATTTTTGGGGAAAAAAATTACACATAAATTTTTACACCAAAAATATAAACACATTCTTTAAATTTGAGATGGTCCAGGACCTAGGTTGAATTACTCACTATCTGACTAGAAAAAAGGATTAGCAATCTCATCGGTTCCATATGTTGGCTCCAAAAACATAACAATAGTTTTTAATCCCCCTACAAACTTACCTGGTGGAGTATACAGCCAAGAACCCTCCCCCCAGTCCACATACTCCTACCACCTCAACAAGTCCAACTACATCGAGCAACCCAAACAAGCAATTGGACACCCCTGGGGTATAACACCCCAAAGTTTCACAAGAAAAGATGTGCTAAAACAGCAAGTATAAATTGAATATGTATCTAATGTTTCCTTGTGATTATGAAGAAGGTGAGGACTTTAATATATTACAATGGAAAGACAAATAGTCATTGTTTCATGTATTATCAACAAGGGCTTAACAAGATATATTCAGTCAAAAAGTTGAATTAACCATTCAGAGGAAAAATAGTAGACCTTCCCATTAAGACGTTCATTAAGACAACTTTTTTGTCAAATTTTTTTAATCGATTGTGAAATAGATTAATATTAATAAATGAAATTTCTCATTGACATTATAGTCTAAGAGTTATAATAATAAATTGATTATCTTACTCATTTCAGACTGTGTATTCAACACACAAAATAAATAATTCCATATAAAAATACTACTTAATTCAGACAGACATATTAATCAAGACAGACATCTTAATTCAGATCATACTTAATAAAAAAAGTAAACAGTCCCTTAATACAAGCCGTCCCAAGCCTCATATTTTTCAGGGACGGACCTGGAACCCGCCATAGTCCACCCCTAAGTCTAAACCATAATGACCATAAGCCACTATTGGATACATAAAAGTCAAAGGGGGTGTTTCGCAAATGGTTGGTGGCTGTTGGTCGTTGGCTGATTGTGTTGGCTGATCGATAACGACGGATTGTGTTGGTTGTTTCGATCAGCTGCCAGTATTAACAGTTTGTAAAATGGTGTTTGATTAAATGATTGTTTATAATTAGCTGATAACATTTTAAATGACTTTTAAGGACATTAATTATTTTTATTGACTAACTACTTTTACATACGCAGTATCAATTTTGTTAATGTTATTTGCATTAAAAATATATTAAAAATCTCTTTCTTTAAAAAAGATTGTATTTGCATGACTAGGCCATAACCGTTTTTATGATTTACAAACGCTAAAAAAATATTATCAGAAGCAATAATTTTTTTACACATTATTTTTAATATATCAACAAAACCCAATATCAGTAGGAGTCATTGGATAAATAGTAGCAAAACCCAATTTTAGTATGAATTCAAATAAAAAGAAAAAAAGAAAAACAAATTTAGCAGCAATCCATTACCAATTTGATGATTTGAGTGGGACCTGTATATATGAGTTGAATTATCAGAAGAACGTATGGATACTTGGGTAGATTAGGAAATGACTTGTATATGTGAGTTGTATATTAATCGAATGTAACTGTATCGGAAGAGATTTAAGAGAACGTAGCGGTACTAGGGTAGATTAGGAAAATTAGACGAGAAACTCAAACCACCAAGGCTAAAAGCTAAGTTTTGTGGCTTTTTTGAATTTTGGGTGTTTAGATAAGAAGCTAAATAAAAAAGCCAGGTAAGCAAACACTCGTATTAACTGATTCATTTGGTCAAAAAAGCCAAACCTGGGTCAAAACAGCCAAAAAATGGCTGATAGACCATTAACCAAACACCCCCAAAGCGTATACTTGTTTGGAAGGCCAGGAAAATACTAGTAAATACGACGTAGTTCAGAACTTCATATTGCTTAACGATTATACTACAAAATTAACATGTATTAGAAATTGAAAATAAAACCTACAAAACATGTATCAGAAATTGAAAATAAAAAAACGAGATTAAATCAGAAAGTATGACTCCGTAAAAGATATCAAGCTACATGTTGAGGTTTAATCCCGTAGATCCGAAAGCCCAACACACGCTTTGGATATTTTAGGACGTGGATAATGATTTGTGTGTAAGAAAATATAAAATCTGAATAATAATAATCTCAAAGCCCACTTGGATTAAGTAATTTGCTGAATTACACAAGAACTTCCCGAACGGTACGTCGGAGTAGTGATTAATACAACAATGATAATGAGAAAACTATTCTAGGCCTTGGGTATCAAAATGCTAACCCTTTACAATGAGATTAATCCATCTATTTATACTAATGGAGGGTATGGGGTGCTCCTTGCTGATTGGTTGCTGATCCAGCCACTTGGATGCCCATCCTCCCACTTCCTAATGTCACACTCTAGCATTTAATGGACTTCGCCACTTGCCAATGGTCCATTGCCCGATCGAAGTGGTGGGCCATGCTGAAACGTCGTTGATTTGACCCAAGTATCACGGCTGGTCCGAACCCCGTTCCGTATTTATCCATGGGCCTGTTCATCTTTTGGGCCTATTCGTCTTCTGGATTCCGAGCCATTTATTGGACTGGATATATTAGGTCTTTGATCCGGGTATTGGGCCTTCGGCC